CGATTTCCGTTTCTCTGGAGCCTCGCCGGGATGTCCCGTAACGGGGGTCCTCCACACTTGTTCCGTGGGATGGCGCCTTCTCCGTTCTCGCCCCGTTCTCGATCGGCAATAACAGCTTCTTTAGCTGGAAAAGAGATTCATATAACAGCGGCACTTCCATTCCCGCTGACGTAAATGCGAGAGGGGTATGACTTTCTGATTCCTCCATGTCACCCTCTGTTCGGCAGTTCCTCCTACGTCCGTACATCCATCACGCTGATCTTCGTCCGTCGGGGCGCATAATACATGTAGAAATAGTAGTTATCACTTCGCGTCTTGAAAATAATAATCGCCGCACGCGACCGCGATAACGGGCCCGCTGGTCAAATAATAATCGGCCGCCTTCCACCCCCTATCAGAAAACGCGGATCCGAATCAATCTCCCCCGCAGTCGGGGCTTATGCCCCTTGTGACCGGTAGCTTCAAAGCGCCACATCACAATATAAACTACATATATAAAAATATAAAAATATATGTACATTGTATGTACATGTATATTACAACGGAATCCGCCAATATCCCCACGGTAACGTCTCCGTTGAATCCGATACGATGTATCGTTTGTCATCGTACGGACTCAGAGCGATTTTCAACTCGGATCGTACATACTTGGTGTAATTTGGATCTTATATATGACTGGCGACAAGTCATTTTGACTTCTTCATTCAAGCACCGCGTGTAATCGTCGAACGTTATTGTTCGCGCTACGACGTTACTCTTTATACCTTTCGCTGTTTTGGTGTCCTTTTTACCCTCAACCTTTACCGCGTACATCTTCGCTCTGAGTCCGACGAATTTCGTCATTATCGTACCGTTATTTTCGTCCTTCATTAGGCCATTACATTTTTATTCAGAGGCATCTCGTGCGTTATTCGGTGGATAATCGCTCGTATCGAATCTAGCGATAGATCGCGTCTCGTACATATTATCACACTCGATGTGATATATGAGACTATCAGTGTCGGTGATTTGTCGCGATACAGCGGTGACATATACTCGTGGTAAAATTCGTACAAGCAGATTTTCGATATGTCGAGTATACACATACCCATATAAATCGGTTTGTCGAATTTTACCTCCAGTTTACGCAGTTCAACGGCGATTAAATTTTCCGCAAAGATGCTGCGGCTGTGGAAATTTGGTTTCACGATCATTGCCTCCGCGCCATATTGTCCATCCCATTTTGTTATCAATTTTACACCCACGTGATTTAAACATTTTCCATTGTTTTACTAAATACCGCGTTGTTCATCAATTTGTACAAATTTTTTTCAAAATCGTTTTTCGCGCATGTTCTAAAGTGTGTATTGAATGTAATCACGAAGCCAAGCGATTGAGCAAATTGTAGTACACGGTGTATCTTTGCGAAGATCGTGGCGCGTACATTGCTGCAGGTTGCGATAGTGAATGATATACCACTTCTTATTATATAACGTCGTGAGAAGTCGTTATCTTGCCGCGTGCCGGGTGGTTTATCACGTGTCAGACAGAAAGGTAGGTCAGTGTGTCGATCATGCAGATGATGCGGATACTTGAGATCGACCTCGAGAATACCCGAATAGGCGAATCTGGAGCGATCGCGCTCGCGTCAAAGTTCGCAACGTCTTCAACCCATCGAAATTCGACATAGGACAGCGATTGACACATCGCCCATCCGTACAGATTGTTCACGTCGTAGTACATCAAATACGACAGTTTTGACGGGTCGTACGAACGCATGTACTTGTTATTGGCCTTGTTATTGACCTGCGCATATCTGCCGGAACATTGATTGAGGTCACCGCGTATACCGCGCTCGATAAATATAATCATATCGATGTCGGTGAGCAACTCAAATTTTACACGCGTATGTTTCACCATGGCGTCTCATGTGAAACCTGACAACGTATAGTAATGAGCGGGATCGAGACTGTAACTTTTGATAAAATTTTCGCGGAAATTTTCAAAAACGTCGGCCAATAACAAGACATCGGTTTTTAAATACAGATCGCTATTTTCGCCTAGGGCGAGTCAAACGTTTCAATAAAGAACTGCTACCAGACGTATGCCTGCGCGTAATCGTTCTCCAACATCATATCACCGGTCAACGAGCTATAGAATGATTTGCGCGGTGATAGGCGCGTGTCCGCGCGATCCACATTCGTATGGAAAGACATCTTTTCGCGTCAACAAATCAAAATCTTCGTTTGATAACGTGGAAAATTCAGAACGTAAAATTTTTAATTTCTCGTTAGAAAAGATGCCGATTTATCGAGGCTGGTATTTAAAAATTTGTACGAATCGATGAACTGCAGTCGTACGCAATTTCGAAAATCTGATTTCTCGGCGGTATCATTAACGTGTTTAGTGAACGAAATGTATTTTTCTTTTGTTATCGGCAGCATGTCGATTCTGCCTTCGAATGCCTATTTCCATGATGACAAAGTGTGCGTCATAATCGGATAAGTTGTGAAATACTATGGGAATGCAATATGAATCTTTATAATTTAGATTACAATTTCAATATGTGGGACAATGATAACGACCGGTAAGGTGACAATGATCGCGTATCCGCATGTCGTCCGATGCAAATGATTTTTCACAAATGTGACAACGCGTCGCACTACGGTATGCCTCCCATTGTTCTTTCGATAATGCTTCCATAAGGACATTCGCGGATAACAAAATTTTTAATCGCGCCAAGTTTTCGAGTTGCCGAACGAACCACGCAACACAGTCTTCGCCGCGAAATCGATACGCCGATAACGCATTATCGTACGAGCATCCGTAGTATCCGATTCTAAATACCTCTATTTAGTTATGCTGCTGATAGGCGTCTTCCTTCTCTGTCGATTCCATTTGCGGTAGTACTCCAAGTACGCACTCCAAGTCCGCGTATACAATGAATGGAAGTCGTTCCTTATTCATGTGGTTCTTGAATGCGAGCTACTTGCTGTTTTCACTCGGCAATCGGACAGCGCAATTGTTCATCTGTTTGCAGTCTATGCAACTGCAATTTTTCAGATGAATTGAAGTAATGTAAACATCTGCAAAAGAAAGGAAAATATGATTTTTTAATATTTATTTTTTAATTAATAATGATTAATAATGATGATTAATAATGATTTTTAATATAATAAGAGAAATAATGAAATTTGTTAAAAATGTGTATACCTACCGATCGCAAAAAATATTTCTTGTGATAAATATCATCACATACCTCGGTAGTCAAAAAGGAT